ATCCAAATATAGCAGTAACCACAATAAATATAAAAAGACTAAACTCACCAGTTAAAAGACAGATTCTCACATTGGATAAGATAACAAAATCCAGCTATATGCTGTTTACAAGAGACACACCTAAAACATAATGACATAGAAAAGTTGAAAGTAAAAGAATGGGAAAAGGTACACCAAGAAAATAACTAACCAAGAAAAATCTGGTATAGCTATATTATCAGACAAAATAGCTCTTAAGTTAAAAACATATCTAGGGATAAAGGTTATTACAAAACAGAAGCAATTCTCCATGGAGATATAACAATCCTGAACCAGAATGTTCTTAATGATATAGTCTCAAAATATGTAAAGAAAAAAATTACAAGTCAACAAACCCATGGTCATAGTGGGAGATTTTAACACATCTTTCTCAGTAATTGATAGCTCAAGAAGGCAAAAATTAGAAGAATAGAGAAGATGTGAACAACACAATTCATAAGCCTGACCAAATGGGTGTATAAAGAAACCTGCATCCAACAACCAGAGAACACAGATTCAATCTTTTCAAGCACACAGACATTTACAAAAAAGGACCACGTACAGGTAGGCCACAAAGCAATTTTCAACAAATATTTAAGAATCCATATAACAGGTCTTATTTTCTGACTACAATGTACTAACACTGGAAATCAACAATAAAAAGGTAGCCCCTCAAAACCTGCTAAACCAAAAATTGAAACATATACTTTTAATAATTCATGAGCCAAAGAAGAAATTAGAAGGAAAAGGTTTTTTAAAAAATTAAAACTGAACACCAATAAACAAAGTACATTTCAAAACCTGTGAAACATAGCTAAAGCAGTACTTAGAAGAAAATTTATAATCCTCCATGTTTCCACTAGAAAAGACTGAAACTTAACTATCCAACTCAAGAAGTTAAAAAAGAACAAATGAATAAGCTAAAAAAAAAAAAGATGGAAGGAAATAATTTTTAAAACGTGTAAATAATTAAAACAAAGTAACAGTCAACAAAACCAAAATCAAAAGCCAATTATCTGAAAAGATGAATGAAATAAAACAGACCTCTGGCAAAACTGATTCAGCAAAAGAAAAGGCACAAGCAAACAGTATTAGCAATGAAAAGGGGCACACAGATTTGGTAGAAGTTTTAAAAATCATGAGAGAATTCTACAAACAAATTTATGCCCCCAAATTTGAAATATCAGATGAAATGAATAATTTTCTATGAAAATATAATTACCAAAACTGGCTTAAAAAGAAACATGTATTTGAATAGACCTATACTCAATACAGAAATTAAATCAATAGGTTAAATATTACCACAAAAAGCAAACAAAAATAAAGCAGAAACCTCCCAAGACTAAGATGGCTTTTACAAGTTCCACCAGACCTACAAAGATGAAGTTATACAGATCTGATATATAATGATCTGATTTACAACCGAACACAGAAAAGGAAGCCATGCTCTTCAACTCATCTTGGGGACAGTATAACCATGATACCAAAAAACCTGACACTAAAAGTGTAAGAAAATTATAAGCTGATCTCATTTATGAAAATAAAGGTAAAAATTCTAAAGAAATTATCAGCAAACTATATAAAAATGTATATAATGACCTATAAAATGACCAAGTGGATGTTTATCCCAGAAACGCAAAGATAAATCTGTTAATATAATTTACCATACTAACAGCTTTAAAAACATCTCAATATATGTAGAAAAAAATTTCAGGCTGGGCACAGTGGCTCACACCTATAATGCCAGCACTTTTGGAAGACTGAGGCAGGTGGATCACTTGAGCTCAGGAATTCAAGACCAGACTGGGCAACATGGTGAAACCCTGTCTCTACAGAAAATACAAAAATTACCTGGGTGTGGTGGCGTGCACTTGTAGTCCCAGCTACTCGAGAGGCTGAGGTGGGAAGATAACTTAAGCCCAGGAGGCTGAGGCTGCAGTGAACTGTGATTATACCATTGTACTCCAGCCTGGGTAACAAAGCGAGACCCTGCCTCAAAAAAATTCTGAAAGTTTTAACAGCCATTCAAAATAAAAGCTCTCAGCAAGCAATGTACAGATTGAAACTTTATTAACCAGTGTTAAATACAGTAAATGCCACTGGGACTATTTAAAGTTAAGGACAAGAATGCTTGTCACTTTCTTTTCTACACTGTACTAGAAGACATAGCCTAAAGCAGTAAGATAAGAAGAAATAAAAGGTATGTGACTATAAAGAAGAAAAATAAAATTGTACTTCTGTGAAGATAACGACCTATTGTCTGAAGACCATATGATTGTTCATGGGAAATCTAAGCGTCTATTAGAAATAAGAGCATCTTCAGCAATATTGCAAAATAAAAAAATCAACAGCACACTTACACAAAACCAAGTAGAAAATGTGCCTTTAAAAAGTCAATAACAAAAAAACATAAAGGTATATAAGAACAAATCTTTAATAAATGTGCAAGAACTTTAGAAGAAAATTATGACACTTTTTAAAAGACATCTCTCATAAATGGAGAAACAGATTTATAAGACTCAATATCATAATTTTCTCCAAATTGATGTGTACATTCAATGCAATTCCAATCAAAATCTCAACACAATATTTCACAAAACTTAAGGAGCTGGTTCTAAAATTCATGTGGATGAATAAAGGGCCTAGAAGAGTCCAGGATAATTTTAAATATAGTTAGGAAGAGTTAACAGGTAAGAGGAATAGTTACACAACTCACTCTCCACATAGCAAGACTTAACATAAAAGCTACAATAATTAAAACAAAGTAGTATTGAGGAAGGAGAGACCAAAAAATTGGAAAATAATAGAGATTCTGGCATCAGAACAAATTATGTATAGTATCTTATTATATGATGGATATGGCATTAGAAATAAGTAGAGAAAATAATAAACTATTCAATAAACAGTCTGAGACAATTGGCTTGCCATTTGAAAAAATTAAACTGAATCCCTATGTCATACTCAACATCAAAATAAATTCCAAATGGGTTAAGACTTTTAAGCAAAATTTTAAAACTTTTAGAATAAAAGTATTACTTTGGACTAGGGAAAGAATTCTTAAGATAGGAAAAGCACAAAACATAAAGGAAAAGACTAATGAATTTGCCTATACAAAAACTACACATATATGTATATCGAAGACATTGTAAAGTTCAAAGACAAACCACAAATTGAAAGAAGATGTTGGAAATGCATAAATCTGAAAAAGGATTAGTATCCAGAAGATATAAAAAACTCTTACAAACCAACTCAAAAAAGCAATCAAATAATGGGCTAAGGACAATAGGCAATTCATATAACAACAAAAAAAAGGAAACTTGAATAACCAATAAGCAATATTCAACTTTACTAACAATCAGGGGAATTCAAATTGAAATTATGTGATACCATGTCTTCCATTAAACTGGCATAAATTTTTAAGTCTGATAACTCCAAGGACCGAGAAGAATGTGTGGAAATGGGAATTCAAATATGGCAGCACAGAAACTAGAAATCAAATACTGTTGAAGAGACAGTAAAATCAAAGAAGTACTTGAGAGAGCAATTTGTCAATATGTTGAATGTGAAGACATGCTACTCTATGATCCATCAATTCTACTTTGAGATAGCTATTCCAGAGTAGTGCTTCTCAAACTACCCGTGGAAAAGTACCTTACTTTTTTGTGTGTGTATTTCAATTTATGAGGAACCAATAAATTGTAAACTATAACAAAAACAAATTATAGTACTAGAAAAAAGAAATTAAAAAACAAAAACATAAATATATAAGCTCTGATTTTTTATTTTTGATTCAATAGACATAAAACTGCTGTATTAAAATGCTATAAAAACTTCTAAACACTCATTCTCAATTTCTGTACTCATCTCATTGAGGCTTAGAAACGAAAAGCTGGTGATAGGGCACTGGCCCACAACATACATTGAGTAATGCTACTCTATGGAAACTTGCACATGTACACTGTATCCAGGAGGCACTGGATAAGAATGTTATTGTGATAGTGTTTGTAATAAGGAAAAACTAGAAGCTACTTTACCCTTCGCTGGTAATTCCTTACAATAAAACTAGGTCTGCTCATAGAACGAAAAATATAGCAGCTAAAAAATAAACGATCTACCATCTCACAGAGAATAAGGATAAAATGCCAAAAAAAGAGGAAAAAACCCTAGATCTACATGTATCAATATGGATAAAATTCAAACAATGTTAGTGAAAATAAGGCAAGTTGTAAAATAAGAGTTTGATATCATTTTTGTAGTTTCGAATAGGTAAAACAATTTTATAAACTGTTACACACTTACAGTAAAAGTATAAAAATATGGACAGAAAAGATATACATCAACTTCAGAATAGAAGCTAATCTGAGAAGAAAAGTCAAGGAGTAGGACCAGCGAACATACAAAGGAGGCTTCAAACAGATACTTAATTTTTTTCTTTAAAAAAAAAAAAAAAAGATCTGAAGGGAATAAGGCAAAATCTTAAACTTTCATTATATTGTTCTCTGTACATTCCCGTATAATTGAATTATTTAATTAAAGATGTCTTAAACTTTCAGCATCAACTGAAGGCCAAAGAGGGCAGTCTAATACACAGTGACCTAGAGTGTAAGGGAAGCCATTGTAATCCAAAATGAACTGTAAACAACCCTGCCATGCTTTCATAAACGGCACTATCTATCCAGGTAAAACGAAGTGCACGTCAACAACAAGGATACATACTACAATCTGAAACTTTGGTCAAAAAACTTCCCTATTCTTAATCTGTACAAATGAAAATGCTATCCACAGGCTCAAGTTGCCTATAAACCCTATCCATTCTCCCTGTTCTTCAAAGAGACAACAGTGGCAGCCAACAACATGATGGAGAGCCACAGCACGTCATTAAGTACTGGTCTCACCTACTTTTAAAGGCATTAGAACATCTGAATGTACAGTGGAGGTTCCAGAATTCCCTACTACCTATGATGCAATCTTACTGAGTCCCATGATACCCAAAATGAGACTGACAAAGAACAGGACAAACAACAAATGTACTTAGAGACAATCATTTCAGAGAGAAATTCAAGTACCTATAACTGCCTTTTTCCTCTCTGTCTCAGCTTCTTTTTCCACAACCTTTTGTTTCTGTGCAGCTATAAGGAGTTTTGTCTTCTCAGCCTCCCTGTGAAGCAAAATGTTATAAAAATTAGAAATGATTCTCTTATGTGCAGTCACAGCCAGTAATTCTGACCCTATAGTGAGTCGGAGAACCGTTTTTTCAACACGAGCTTTTGGACTCATTAAGGTAGGTTAAGAGAGGTGTTACTTTATTTTTACTTATAGTAAATCTGAGGTTGAAAGATTCAATGATTTGCCCAAAGTCACCCAGAGATAGGAAAGAAATTTAGTACATTTGAATTTTAGTTTGGCTTTCTTCTCCTAGTTGTATTGTGTAAAGCCTGTGATTTGCAAGAGAATATATCAATACTTCCTTTGCTGTTAGACCTCCAGCTAGTCCATACAGTAGCTCTGTGCCAATTAGAAAATGGCACCAGCCTCTGGGCAGATGCAGTCCCGCAGGTGCATGGTTTGACATGCAGAATGAAGCTGGGTTTCAGCCCCTGCCCTCCTCAGGCGGGCACCCATGTGCAGTGGCCATATTTGTTGCACAGAAGATGTAACGAGGTCGTAGTTATTAGGTAGTAAACTGGGGCTTAGTGTAAGGAGAATTTTCTAAGGCTTCCAGTGTCTAATACAGGTTAAGCATCTCTGATCTGAAAATTTGAAATCCAAAATGCTCCAAAATCTGAAACTTTTTGAGTGCCCACATTATGACACAAGTGGAAAATTCCACACATAAGCACTTAAGGTGAACTTTGTTTCATGCACAAAATTATTTAAAATATTCTATAAAGTTACCTTCAGACTATAGGTGTATATGGAACATAAATAAATACCTGGAAAAAAAAAAAAAACTAACCACTATACCAACAAGGAAGAACAAAAATACATTTTATATTTACACCTGGGTCCCATCCCCAAGATATCTCATTAAGTCTATGCAAATATTCCAAAATCTTTACAAATCCAAAATTTAAAATACTTCTGGTCCCAAGCATTTCGGATAAGGGATACTAAACCCGTAACGGAAACGGCTGGCATTATTACTAAGCATGTACAAGTAGCTACTGGGTAACCACGTGGCAGAAATGGTATAAGAAAACACTACTATCAGGTGCAAGGTTATACTGGATCATCTCAAGGTAGCTTTTAATTCTGGAATTCCAATAGTCTATAAAATTAAGAAAGATCCAGAATCATCTGAAAAGTAACTCCAATAGTTTCCCCAAAACACTTCCCCTCAAAGTTTCCCCTCTTTCCTCTGATAACATTGATACACACATCAAATGACAGTCTGAATACTATGATTTATTTGAGAGCAGAAAACACACAATATTCATTTTTCCATCACAGAAGCAATCATATTTAAAGCCTAAGACATGCTGAGCCTTTAATAAAAATTTTTTTTTGAGATGGAGTTTTGTTCTTGTTGCCCAGGTTGGAGTGCAATGGCGTGGTCTCGGCTCAATGAAACCTCCGCCTCCCAGGTTCAAGCGACTCTCCTGCCTCAGCCTCCCAAGTAGCTGGGATTATAGGTGCCTGCCACGATGTCCGGCTAATTTTTGTATTTTTACTAAAGACAGGGTTTCACCGTGTTGGCCAGGCTGGTCTCAAACTCTTGACCTCAGGTGATCCGCTGGCCTCAGCCTCCAGAAGTGCTATGATTATAGGCATGAGCCACCATGCCCCGCCTATAAATATTTTTTAAATAAGTGGATCACATCCATAATCTACCCAGCCTGGCACTCTACAGTTTTAAAAGAAGAGTGCCTTGTCTACAATGAAAAAGAGAAAACAGGCTGGGTGTGGTGACTCACACCTGTAATCCCAGTACTTTGGGAGGCCAAGGCAGGAGGATTGCTTGAGGCCAGGAGTTTGAGACCAGGCTGGGCAACAGGGCAAAACCCTGCCTCTATGAAAAACACAAAATTTAGCCAGGTGTGGTGGCATGCACTGGTAGTCCCAACTACTCAGGAGGCTGAGGTGGGAGGATCGCTTAATCACTTGAGCCTGGGAGTTTGAGACTGCAGTGAGCCGTGACTGTGCCACTGCACTGCAGCCTGGGCAACAGAGTGAGACTCTGTGTCAAAAAAAAAATTAAGAAAAAGAAATAAAACTCTGTATGAGCTCAGAGAGGTATGAGGGAAAAGAAAAATATAAAAGAAGAAACAAACAATAAAAATATGCATGGTAACGAAAAGGATTCAGAAGTAAACAACCTCATAAAGCAGTATTACTGCTCCTTGGACCTCCAGTATTTATACATCTGTGGTATCTTTGACTTGTGCAAATTTATTTTTCCAGCATCTGTCCCTTTAACATAACAGCCAAATTTCCTGAAGACTTTTATTTCTTCTTTTCAGTACCAGTCATACCAAAACAATATTGCCATTTCAAACACAGTAAGTATTCCCCTAAAAGGGATCCTCTTAGAAACTAATTTCATGTCTTCTTATTCCCAGCCAGCCCTGGATACATAAAAGAGAAGACCACCAGGAGTCAACAGAAGCAAGGCTTCCCCAGAGGCACATTATAAAGAACCAGGTCTAATTTTAGATATACAATCACATACAATGGAAAACCAAACTTTATACCAACAAGATATCTACTCCTACCATTACAACACAGAAACAAAATATGAGCACTCTCTTCAACCCTAACACAGGTTCAGGACTCTTTCCTCTATTAAATATTTAATTCAAGGTACTATTCATATAAAATTATAGCTCCTTAAGCTTCCAACAATAGTTTTACAGCAAACTGCATCTTTAGACACTGACACTTCTCCTGAAATATCCACACATACAGAAGAACACTAATAAGAGTCTAGTGGGAATTAAGACACAAGAGTAGCAATATTACTAGAGTAAGAGTAAAGAAGATACACACATACTCCACCCCAGAGTGTATTATCTCACATGTTTCCTCTAGACTGGAGTGTTAATATGCAGACAGCCCTGAACAGAAATATTGGGATCCCATGCATATTACTCACATTAACTCAAAATTTCTTCTTATGGCTTCTGGGATTTTGGGTTTTGTAACACGCACAGCCTAAAAAATAAAAGTGAAAAAGCCAAAGTATATTTGAAAGATAAATCTTCAATTAAATCTTCTACAGAAAAGCACCTCAAATGATACTAATCTAACAAAACAACAGCTATAATATAGCGGCCTACTAACACGTTTGGGGATCCCACTGGAACATTTACTTTTCATGCCATCACACCAAGAATCAAAGACAAGCTGCTTCGTACTTCCTACACAATGCCAGATTACAGGAAAAACTAGTCTACCCACTGAGGAAACAACTGCCTTAGGAAAAAGGTTCTCCCTTAAAAGATGTTTTACAAAGGTCGTTAGATACTTTTGCTTTCTTTTTTAACCCTGAAAACCAAAGAAGCCAGGAAGGCAAATTTCCAAGACTGAAATTGTAAAGTCAGAAACAATTAAGTCAAATACAAAAACAAACAAAAAATCCCAGTTTGGTGCATGCAATTTAATACAGTGAGTAGTGAGTAAATTAATCTATCACTTTCAACCCCTGCAATCACTCGGTATTTGCTATAAGTAAACAGCGCAGTGGCTGAAGGAAAACAAATATCAATTAAAAGCTTATATTCTTTCTTCCTGAATTCTCACTTAGAAGAAAGTCTGTCTTTGTAGAGGCTGTTTACTACACACTTTGTTTCCCTAATCATAGTGTTCTTTGACATAATTAAGATTATCTACATGGACAGTACTGTTTTTTGAAGGCTGACTTTTCTACATCAAGGACTTGATCTCTCAAAAGCTTTTGATTTTACTAAACATATGATACCCCGCCGCCCCACCTATACTGCAAACACACAAAAAACACTTTGCTGGTCTGAGGAAGTTTTCCTTCTGAAAACTGGCTAACCTTTTAGGTATTATAACAAAGCCTTTAAGCACTTAGTCTTCTTTAAAGGCTTTTAAAACTTTTAAGCAATATAGCATTCCCTACATGAAACAGATGAGTCAAATTTGTAGGTAATTTTGAGGACTATCATAACTAAATATAAGCATTACAGTGGAATGAAATAAGCAGCTGAAGACTGTGTGGAAACACACTGGCAGTGACACATGTGAGGCCTCACGAGACATCCAGAAGACAAATAAAAATTCAGGACCAGATTTTGTGAGATGTCAGATTTCACCATGTGACTAGCAGACACAAGATCACTTCCAATATGGATTAATATGACTCTGAGGGAAGCACTGTCACACTGCATTTAATTAAGAGACTGGCCACATATCTTTTCAGCCTTATTAAAAGAAGCATAAAGCAGGACTGTCGTTTTTTCTTTCTTTCTTTTTCTTTTTTTTGAGATGGAGTTTTGCTCTTCCTACCCAGGTTGGAGTATGGTGGTGCAATCTCAGTTCACTGCAACCTCCACCTCCCAGGTTCAAGCGATTCTCCTGCCTCAGCCTCCCTAGTTGCTGGGATTTCAGGCATGCGCTACCATGCCTGACTAATTTTCGTATTTTTTTTAGTAGAGGTGGGGTTTCACTATGTTGGTCAGGCTGGTCTCGAACTCCTGACCTCAGGTGATCCACCCACCTCGGCCTCGCAAAGTGCTGGGATTACAGGCATGAGCCACCACACCCGGCCAGGACTGTCTTTTGAAGACTCCTATTTTGCTGAATGAGGCTGAAGAACATACTACATTGTGCTTGCCAATCTTGGGCAATCTCACAGATTTTCAAATATGTGAAAACATAAATACTTACTCTACAGATACCATGAGTAAGTTGCATTATAAGAGATTCTAAAAGTAAAATGACAGGAAAGTCCCACTCGAGTATCCCTCTCCCTCACAGGAGAGACAGCTGTTCTCCTGTTTCTTTTGCCTACTAAACCTCCGCTCTTAACCTCAAATAATAAAATAAATAAAATAAAATAATGCCCCCACACCACTCACATACACAGAGTGAATGGAGGAAAAAAAATGGCTAATGAAATGAATATATGTGTTGAAACTAACCCCTGGGTTTTAAGCATATATTATAAATCAAAAGTCAGTCTAAAATATTGTCACTCCCTTAAATAACATAGGAAAAAAAATCAAAGATGACCATTTTCATCATTCTAATTTGCCAGAGTAGTTTTTCAAGAGGAAAAATGGGATATAAATATATGGAAAGGAAAAAAATAAAATGACTGTTAACAGAGAATGTTCATTCAACAATAAATATTTATCAGGTACCTACTCTGTGTCAAGTGCTATCTGTTGCAGGAATTGTGGATAGAGCAGTGAACAAGGTAAGGCTGCTCTCATGTAATTTAACCCAAAAATTACTAGAAGGCAGTGAATTCAAGCTGTAGACATACGATAAATCTACCAAGAACCAATCACATTCCTCAATGATTGAACGGCATTAAAATACATTAAATCCATTGGTATTAATTTAACTTAGGATATGAGTTTCTCCCCCAAATCAGAAATTCGTTTATTATTTTTTTTGAGATGGAGTCTCACTCTGTCGCCCAGGCTGGAGTACAGTGGCGCAATGTCGGCTCACTGCAAGCTCCGCCTCCCGGGTTCACGCCATTCTCCTGCCCCAGCCTCCTGAGTAGCTGGGACTACAGGCGCCCACCACCACACCCGGCTAATTTTTTGTATTTTCGGTAGAGACAGGGTTTCACCGTGTTAGCCAGGATGGTCTCGATCTCCTGACCTCGTGATCCGCCTGCCTTGGCCTTACAAAGTGTTGGGATTACAGGCGTAAGCCACCGCGCCTGGCCCAAATCAGAAATTCTAAAAACCAGAAAGGCTGATATGATAAAGTAAAGCCATAAACTATGTTTCTATTTTTAACTTATATTGGAGGATTGCGTGAAGCCAGGAGTTTGAGACCATCCTGGGCAACACAGCGAGGGCCCATCTCTACAAAAAATTAAAAAATTAGCCAGATGTGGTGGTGTGTGCCTGTACTCCTAGCTACTTGGGAGGCTAAGGCAGGAGGATCACTTGAGCCCTGGAGTTCAAGACTGCAGTGAGCTATGATCATGCCACTGCACTCCAGCCTGGGCAACAGAGGGAGACCCTGTCTCAAAACAAAACAACATAACACAACATGTATATGACTACTTAGGTGCCTGATACAGCTTAAAAATATCGATAATGAAAACTTATCTGGAAGATTAAGCTAGCAGAAACAGCAAAGGCCATTATTTTTTAAAAGATGATGTTTCTTGCCAGATTTTAAAATAAAAAGTTGAACTATCACAACCATATGGTAATGTGTTAAAAATAACAAAGCTCAAACACAGACTTGGAATTCTTAAAATGCATTTCAACTATTGTAAAAAAAAAACATTTATAACAAGACAAAAGCAACCAAAGGAGCTCTTCTCTTCTCAGGATATGCTTAAGTTATTGCAAAATATAAAAATTATTTAAAAAATTTTTAAACCCTAAAACAACAAAGATCTTCTCTACCACTTTAAGAATGTATAACAAAACTACATTTTTTCACCCAATAACTTCTTACAAAAACAAATGAATGTAAGTAAATTCAAAAGATCCTTCTGGCTGTTGTGCAGAAAATGAAGTAGACAAAGGTAAAAGTGAAAGTGGGGAAAGAAGACAGGCGGTTACTGCTACTGCACATGTCAACGTAAGAGTTGGTAGCTTGGCTTGAGATGACGGTAAATATGGAGGTGTGGTCAGTTTTATTAATACATGGATTTTGGTGGTGGAATCTGCATGACACAGGGACTAATTAGATGCTGAGGGTGAGATGATTGTCAAAGATGCCTCCTACACTTCTAGATTGGCTTGAGGGAAAGGAGTTACCATTAACTGACAAGATGAAAAAAACAGGAGAAAATCTGATTTGACGAGAAAACACCAAGGACTCAATAACTAATGAAAGAGTAGGAATGGGAAGATCCATGGAACAGAACTAAGTTCAGAAAAAGACTCTAGTATATAATGGAATGTAGTATGTAACATAAAAACTATTTCAAAGAATAAGGAAGATGGAAAAATAAACTATTCAGTAATTACTGCTGTTACCCAATTTGGGGTTGAAGGGATGGAGTTGAAGGCCTTCCTTGCAACTGAGATCAAAATGGGTTCCAGATGAATTAAAAGATTTAAATCTAAGAATACAACTGTAAAAGCAGATACAATTTTTGTAATTTCTAATTTTAATTCCTATACTTTTAAGGTGGTGAAAGGCTTTTAAAACATGCCAGCTCAGCAACACACCATAAAGACAAAATCGCTGAAATTACTATGTAAAAGATGAAAACTTCAACGTTATCAGCAAGGCAAAAACAAAGTTAAACAACAAAGAAAAAACTGGAAGAAAATGTTTCCTATAAATATAAAAAAGAGCTACAATAACTAACATATGAAAAATAGTTTATTTTTAAAAACGAATTCTACCCCTCTCAAAGGGTAAGGTTCAAAAACAAGTTATCTATATACAAATGCTATTTATTTACTTACTTATAGAGAGGGTTTTGCTCTGTTGCCCAGACAACAGTACAGCATGAACACAGCTCACTGCAGCCTCAACCTGCTGTGTTCAAGTCATCCTCCCACCTCAGCCTCCCAAGTAGCTGGGCCTACAGGCACATGCCACCATATCCACCTAATTTTTTAAAAAAAATTTTTGTGGAGAAGGGGTTGCCCAGGCTGACCTCAAACTCCTGGGCTCAAGGGAGCTTCCCACCTCAGCCTCCCAAAGTGGTGGGATTACAGATGTGAGCCGCTATGCCCAGTCAAAAGCAGCTTATTAAAAATCAGTTAGAAAAACCTTAACTAAAAAAAAGAGCAAAACCAACAATTTATAAATGAAATAAAAATGGCTGATAACCTAAGGTATTCAACTTCAATAATTAATACAAAATAACAGACTAATTTTCTCCAAAAGGATTAAAAGAGAAAGGGAAAGCTTGCATCTGCTAATTATTTGGGTACAATCATGCAATCAAATGTGTTAAAAACTACAGCTTACCAACACTGCTAATGAGAGGGTGGGAGCTGCTAAAATTTTTCTAAAAGGTGATTTGGTAGTACGTATCAATAAGTCCCCAAACAGGGAATACACT